ATATAAGATTTATTGTACATCGGTAATACAATAAATGTAATAACGTATATGTGATATGAGTTTATCTAACAGACCAATAGATTATATTACATGTGATTTATGTGATATTTGTTGTGATTACCGTCTGATTGCAAATTACTAAATAAGGAAATTAATCAGAGCAGCATCCAATGAAAATCTTTGATTTCATATCTAATTACTGAATTATCACATTGAGATTTACTTGCATCAAATCCGCCCATATGTGATTCTGGTTTAAATTATAGCTAACAGCTTAAACTATGGCTTAGTTATAGCTTGGCTATGGCTTTTTTGAGCCAAGCTAAGCTATCCAAGCCAACAACATCCCTACCGACGTACTGAGATCCCTGTGGTTGTTATTTTCCAACTGTCTTGACAGACTGAAGATAGTTGTGGCTGTTGTCCAACTCTCCCAACATATCAAGGATTGTTGTGGTTATTGTATTCGGTTTGAGGTCCAAGAGGAAGAACCCAAGCCGTGGTTCTCATGTGCAATTGTTTTGAGTTAAAGTATAAGTATTAGTATGATATCAAGGTTTAAACATAAGTAGAAGCTATACCTACGACCCTAAAACCACCACTCGCCAAATCTAAACGCCTCTCTTCGACTAAGCCGATCGTAGGTTACACAACCCCCAGATAGTTGCGACAGACTCGCCGTTTTACAGTTGTCACTAACCAAAAAGAAAATTTTGAACGTACAGCGGCACACAAATTGCATGGGCACAATTTTTAAGTTTTGGGCTACGGGCCGGGCCGGGCCTACTCAAAACCCGACATAGCTCGACCCGGCCCGAATACTGGATCTTCTAATTGGGTTTGGGCTGGGTCGGATTTAAAAATAATTTTACCGGGCTTATGAAAACCCGCCCGATTCCGGACCCACGGCTAACTGGATAATCCAAGTATTTTTAACAGCATAATTTTGCACCCGGGTAAATATTTTTACATGCAGGCAAACCTATAGTTTAAATTTATGCTAAGTCTGTAAGTCGAATCTTTATTTATGGTAAAGCAATATTGGGTCACATGACCGGCCTCGGGCCGGCTTCGTCGGCTCGGCTCGAAGCCGCGGCTAAGCCGGCTCACTATGAGCCGATCCCATCCCTACTAAAATGTGCTGAAACTGAAAATTAAAAATTAAAAAAAAATATCATAATATTAGTATTTGATGGACTTTAGAAACGTTATTGAAAACATTTTTAGTCTCGGTAATACCATTTTTAGTCATCATTTTAGGATGGTATGAATAAATTTCTAGTAAGAAATTTTTAAAGAATGAGTATTCAAAATTAAAAAATCAGATGACTGTTTTAAGTATATAAAGTCAACAATTTAACTCTTATTGAGTTGAAAAGAAAAGGCATTAATAATTACATTCATAAAATTTTTAAAGGATAAAATTATTCTCAATTTATGCACGTAATAAAAAATAATTATCATGATCAAAAATTATCTTAATATTATTTTTATTGTCTATGCTTAATATAGTCAATTCAATTCCACATAAACCTCCGACATGCCATGAAGAAGAGCCAAAAGCACATAATTTAATCAAGCATCTAACAATTACTTCTGATCCCTCAAAACCTCACCAAATTGGCTCGTTCAAAGGTTATGTAAAAACCAAAGAACCAATCGATGATACTGCATACTTTTTGGGTTTTATCTTTGGTTCAGATGGGAAACTCTTAACTTTCGCTGGTAATAATATTTGTACTGACAGAGTTACTAAATGCCCGACTAAAGAATATGAAATTAATCAGGAAATTGATATAAGTAATTTACCTAAAAATTCTAAAAATTTCACAATTGCAGCTGCTGTTATTAATTCTAAAAAAGCTTTAGCTATTGGATTCTCTAATAATTGCAAATTCACTAAATCAACAAGTAATGAACTTAATACTATATTTAAAAGCCTTTTAACTGTAAACAACTAATAAAATTTTACAGTATATTTAGATATTTTATAATATTATTTTATAATTCTAATTTATTATTTCCCAGAATATGTACAAGTAATACTCTTAATATATTTATTATTTAATTTATTTATTTTTAAGATAGTTCCTTCTATTTTTCTACTTTGGCTAAAATTTAAGTAGTTTATAGTTTTTTTTGATTATATTTTTATAAAATAATAAAAGACAAACTTAAGCTCTTGAAAGATGAAAGTGGTATTGCAAATAATTTATGAAATACATATACAGAGAGACCTCTTTAAATGCACCCCTCGGGACCATAGTAAAAGAATTCAAAAATGTGCACTTAAAGAAGGCGTGCATCTATAGAGAGCAAAATATATAGTGTTATTATAAGCTTGGGCCAGACTATACTGTGCATTTAAAGAGATTTTACATAGGCATGCATTTATAGAGGGTGTATTTAGAGAGGTCTCTCTGTATTAGAGTTTGCCTCGAAACGAAACCTATCGTATAAGCGCGAAATAACGCCCAGGGCACTATTCGAAAATCAGATACCCCTAAAATAGTATATGTAGCTTTAAATTAACGCATCCCTATAAATAAATAAAAAAAGATAAATGAGTAAAAGTGCTTCGGAACCGGGTTGATATTATGTAAACCTATTCTTTTATTTAAATAAAAGTTGTTCTTCAGGTAGAGACGATTCTAACTGTAGTAAAATAATCAAAAACGGTCCAGTAGTTCGCCCGCAATGCCTCTTTAAAGTTTTGCACGTTTGTTTACCTTTGTTTAAAACGTCGCGAAACTTTGAAGAGGCATTGTGGCGAACTACTGAATTGTTTTTGATGATTTTACCACCATTAGATTCATCTTGACCTGAAGACAACATTTACTAAATCCAAGAAATAGGTTTACTTAATATAAAATCCAGTTCCGATGCACTTTTTTATTCTTATTATAAATAAATACTATTTATAGTTAGGGGTACGAATTTAATTCTTTCGAAATAACACGCAGGTGGTACCTGAAACTAGTTTCGGGAAGGTACTAATCCGAAACTAGTTTCGGATTTTTAAAAAAATTCGAAACTCCGAAAATTCCCGAAACTATAATCCGAAACCCTGGTTGACCAATCAGGATGCAGGATCAAGTGTAACATGCAAATTGAAGTGATTACAATTTTTAAAAAATCGCCTCTAACTCTGAATTTGTCCATGAAACTCCCTTTTTATCCTGACAAATTATTTCCCTACCTGAATCCTAACCTAAGCTTTAACCCGATTGTTGTTTGTTTTGTTTTAATTATAGGTGGCGATGCGTCGCGATGAATAATAATTTTCTAAATAATATAAAATACATAAGGCCATGCAAACTAATTAGTTGTTTCTCGTTACATGGGACAAGTAAATAGGATTCGGTCGAAGTCAGTAACTGTTTATTTCGATTCTGTAACTTATCGAATTCGGCCATCGGAAATTTTTTGTTGTCCCAGAATTTATGAATACAGCTGTAACTTTCTAAAAAAGTTGCCCGGCCAGGTAATGAGAAACAATTTTATTTGTTTGCACGGCCTAACATATATAAATAAAAATTTTATATTATATATATTTGAGATTTAAAAAAAAAAATCCAATATTTTGTGATATGCTAATACTAAGAAATAAAAAATTATTATGCTTTACATAGTACATATTTTTTAGCTATTATTATGTGGAAATTGAAGTTCTAGCATTTTCAGGGTTTTGGATGATGCTTCGAGTTAAACTATTATTATATGAAAATCGAAGTTCTGCATTTTCGGGGGTTCGATGTGGTTTCAAGTTTCGGGAGGTTTCGGAAGCTATAATCCGAAACCGAAACTTTTGGATTTGGCACAAAGAGTTTCGGAGCCAGCTTTAACGTTTACCAAATTTTAAAAATTTGATTATTAATGTGTAATAACAACTTTTGACCATGTTAATCATTATTTCCAGATTAGGTTGCACCATTATATATAAATTGCTATGTCTAATGAGATGTTTATCTAGGAGGGCTATGGCTATTATCATTAACAGACCATATTTTTCGATTAAACTTGTTGATTATGCCAAACTCTGACCCTATATATTACTTTTATTTTGACAGGTCACTCTGCACATAAAATATCTGAATTTCAAACAAATATCCAGATCGCAAGTGATAAAATTAATCACTTACGTGTAATAATATGATAAATATTTCGAAAAAAAAATAAGATTTAAATTTTTACATTGCACAATAAAGAATTTAATAAAGCTATTTAGCCTTTATTTGCTCATTTTGCAATTTTTTTAATGATATTATTTTTTATGTACTTATAATTTTTTTCATGAAAAATATTTTTTCGATATATTTCGCCAATTTTCTTTTTATTCATTATGCAGAAAGTTTGAACTAGAATTTTTTCTTATTCAAAATTCAAAATTATAGAGTATTTGTTTATTTATATATTTATATTGAAATAATTTTCCTGTTAATATATAATTGCAAGTAAAATTTCTAATGCAGTTTTCGCAGATTTTTCTTATCACGCCTTTTATAAACGGTTAATAATAAAAATTGTCATCTGTTTCAGTATTATCAATATTATTTTCACTATAAATAAAATATAAATAAATAATACTATATTTTTATATTTAATAAAGAATCTCAAATCCTCACTTTGTTTTTATTCAAATTTTCAGAAAAATCTTTTAAAGAATTTACTAAGTAAAATTTTATTTATGATAAAGTAATATAGATTAAAAATTATTAAATAAAATCTATTATTAATAATTCTATCCTATTGTGAATGAAGTGTTTGAAAATTGGGATTTGTACGATTTCTCTTTGCAGTACTCATTTATGCGCTTTCTATTATTTTCAAGCAAATCATTAATTACAGTTGAAAGTGAATCACATAAATTGTTATTATAAAGGCATAAATGAGTTAAAGTTGTATTTTCACAAAGAGCTTCTACAAATGCACGACCTGCCTCATCCTGAAACATATAATTGAAATTATCACGTAAATCCAGAGAAGTTAAAGTAATATTTTTATGAAGAACATCTGCGAATGCTTTTCCTCCAACATAACTAAGTTGATTACTACCAACATTCAAATAAGTCAGAGAAGTGTTTTCATAAAGTGCTTTTGCTAACTTTTCTCCACCTATAGAGCCGAGTTTATTATTATAAAGAGATAAATGAGTCAGAGTAGTATTTTTACAAAGGGCCTCAGCCAGCGCTATTCCTCCATCCAAACCAATTTGATTATTGCCAATATTCAAGTAAGTCAAAGTGGAATTCTTACAAAGAGCGTTAGCTAATGCTTTTCCACCTTCAGGACCAAGTTGATTATTCCAAAGATTTAAATGAATCAAAGTAGTATTCTTACAAAGAGCCTCAGCTAGCACTATCCCTCCTTCAAATCCAAGTTGATTATTACCAATATATAGATAGGTCAAAGAAGTATTATTACAAAGTGTCTTTGCTAATTCTCTTCCTCCTTCAAATCCAAGTTTATTGTTTGCAAATCCTAAAAAGTTTAGAGAGGTACTTTTGCAAAGATTTTCTGATAAATTTATCATTTGATTATAATATATATCACAAACACGTAAATCTTTAAGATTAATACTTGTTCGTAGAAACATTAAAATTAAAGAAGATCCAATAGCATGAGCTACATTTTTAAAACATTTTTCTTCTTTAACATAAGGAAAATGATTAGGTTCGTGCCCTTCATGGTCAAGCCAATTTATAATTCCACTATCTGTTTCAAAATAAATAGTTTGAATAAATGTAGTATAATCGAATAATGGTTTTGGACAATTTGGAAGCACTATTTTAAACGGTAATAAATGTTTTTTTTCTTCAGTATTTAATGATAAAAGACATATTTTTATGAGTTTTCTACTTTTAAAAGTGTTCAATTTGCTCCATAATATCGGTATTACAATCCCACACCATTTACGATTTACAAAAAGGCAAGAATATAAGTCTTCATTTTTCAGGTTAATAAATATTTCAGAAAGGCATTCAATTGGTAATGCAATCATCTTGAATGAGATTAAAAAGTTTAATGTAAAGTTTGACAAAGAAAATTATTTTATCAAAGAAAATTTTTTATAGAATGAAAAAAGATTTATTTTATCACGTATTAAATAGTTTTTTTCGGAATTTAAATGACACTGCGAGGAAATTCTATAAAATTTTAATATCTTTCTTTGAAGAAATATTTTGATTTTTTTTGATATCAAAATGCGGTTAAGTACGATGCAATTACTCAGCCACAAGCCTTTTATCATTGTGCTTTTTATAAAAGAAGAAAGGGATAGTATTAGATGCCTTATCATTGGATGCCACAATTTACAACCGTTCCCATAAGTTATTCTACAAGTACAAATTTAGTGATAATCGACAACTTACTAAAGCGATTTCGGCCTCAGTTGCCAAGACTTTATGAAAACAGCTGTAATGTAGTAGTCTATTGACTGATATTACGTCATGTCAGTAAATATTGCCCTGCTTTTAATTCTTATTTTAAAGGCACATTAAATAAGAATCTTATTTTATTTTTCCGATTTATAATTCAACATAGTAAAAATGCTATTTAAAAAATCCTATTTATTTTCTAAATGCGTCACTTATTTGTTAACTTTGAAAAACCCCAAATTATAAAATTCTAAATGTCGAATTGAATTAGACGTATTTATTTCAAAATCAGTGACTTATAAATCTATTTATTTTTATTTATAAGCTTATTTATATAATAATGAATACTTTTACGATCGTAAATTTTCTTTATAAAAAAAAAAAAACAATGTTTGCTTATATTTTATCAAAACAAAAATAGAACTTTTCAAACCTCCATTTATTTTCAAAATAAGTTAACTTTGAAACCCCCTAATGATAAATGCGGAGTATTTTTAAGAAACTGTTATTTATAGTAAAGCATTATGGTATGATTAACACTAACATTAATTGCTTAACAGCTATAAAAAGTTATTGACTTTTAT